TTCTCTCTCATTAAATGGCAATTTATTGGAGGGTAGAGCTCCATAAGCAGGGGACAGTGTGTTTATCTGTCTGCCTGAAGATAAGGGAAAGGGCTGCTTCTAGAAAGTGAATTATTTAGCTTATAATTGAGCAGTCTCCATAGAACATGGGCAGTGGCAGGAGGGTATGGATCAGCAGACTGGGAACCATGGGCTTCATTATTAGCTAACGGGGAGTCAAGGGAAGGGCAGCCACCCCCTGCTAACTTCCCCCAGCTGTCTTGTTTCTCCAGTCTTACTCTCCCCATCCTGTGATCCTGTGGGAGGAGCATTAGTGAAACAGTAAAGAGACAAAGTAGAAAGTGTCAGATCAACCCAAGTCTGCACCCTATTTCTGATACCAGCTACTCAGCCTTTCTGAGACTTAGTTTCCTAGTCCATAAAATGGGAGAAATCATACTTAGAGGGTTCTAAGAATTACCATAATACATATAAAGGTTCTAGCACGATATCTGTCACATAGAAGATGATGAGTTAGTGGCAGCAGTGGTTATTAATGTGACATTACCATGTGTGTGTGTGTGTCACAAGCAGTATTGCAGTGAGGGGTGGAAGGGCCAGAGAAGTGAGGTAAAGATGCAAAAGGAGACAGTTTTCAGAGGAGCGAACACACTCAGGAGGGACTACTTTGGCACCATCAACCGTTCGCCTTCCACAGGAAGCATGGGTCCTGGGCATTTAGAGCTCTCCTAGGGCCCCTGGGTTTCTTTTGCTTCTAAACGATGGGAAACAGCTGTTATGCCATTGTTGCCAATTCACGGAGACACATTCATGGAAAACTGGGAAGTTCCATGAACTTCACAAGCTGTTGCCATAAATTGGAAAAGAAAAGGATACTTCTGGCCAGGCGCGGGAGCTCATACCTGTAATCCTAGCACTCTGGGAGGCCGAGGTGGGAGGATCCACTGAGCTCAGGAGTTTGAGACCAGCCTGAGCAGAAGCGAGACTCCATCTCTACTAAAAATAGAAAAATTAGCCAGTTGTGATGGCATGTGCCTGTAGTCCCAGCTACTGGGGAGGCTGAGGCAGGAGGATTGCTTGAGCCCAGGAGTTTGAGGTTGCCGTGAGCTACAGTGATGCCACTGCACTCTAGCCAGGGCGGCAGAGTGAGACTTTCAAAATAAAAAAACAGGGTACTTGTCTATGTTAGATATTGTGGTTGTATTCATTTAATCCTTACAACAGCCCTCTAGCAGAGGCTGTGCCTCTCCCTTTTCCCCTGGACACTCACCACAGTGCCCACAGAGTCCTGTTGCAAGTACCTGTGACTCTGCCTGAGAACTTCCCTTGGCTTGTGTTGGCACAAGCGGGGGGTGTCAGGGACTTAGTGCCCCTGAGGCAGCACTCAGCCAGTGAAAATGAAAGTGGAAGGATAAATACCCCAGCTTCCTCACCCCTTTGGTGAAGCGACCCTGGGGCACATTCTACCTGTCTCTCAGAGTTCTATGAGATTGAACCTCAGTAGCTCCCAGCAGCAGCTTAAGGCTTCTTTCCCTTCCTGCCTCACTTCCAGCTTCCCTTCAGTGCTTCCTGGATCTTGACTGGGACCGGTGTGAGGGGCCCTCACTGTTGAGCTCACCTAAGTGCAGTGTTGGTCCTTGCAACGACCTAAGAGTATCTTTACGTTCTGTACCCTAGGCATCTCACTTGCATCCCTTAATCCTGTCCCTGTCCTGGATCACTTCCCAAATAAAATAGTTCAAATAAAATATTCAAATTAGGTCTCCTTCTGGGGGGGTACCTAACCTAAAGCAAATCCTAGAAGAAATTAGTCTCCATTTTTTATATGTGGAAAACTGAGGCTCAGAGAAGTGAAGAAATTTGCCTAAGGTCATACAACTGCAGATGGGATGGGATTTGAACCTAGGTCTGTCTGACACCGGAGCTGAAGCACTCTCTCCTGTACCACACTATCTTCTACCTCCTGCTTTAGTCACAAAACTGAGGACTCAGTGGAAATTTCAGATTAGAAATTTCAGAGTAGCTTTGGACTTAAATTGATTTTAGCAGATGGGAATCTGGGGGAGGGGACAGCAGGTAGTAAGTGGATGGGAGGGTTGGTAGTTACTGTTAGGTAAGGGTGAGGGTATGCAGGTGGTAGGGCAGGCGATAGGGGTATGTGGTCAAGTCCGAGGGTTAGGACCAATAAAAACAGAAAAGAAACCACAACAGCAAGATCTTGAGGTTAGGGAGCATGTGCAGAAGCTAGGCGCTTATGACCAAAGGTAACCTTTCCCTCATTAACATAGTAAAGCTCACACCCCCTAGCACCATGACAGTTCCAGAGCCAGCCATACAAGGACAAAATGGGAGGGTACATGATTCCAGGAATCTCCACCCACTTCCCCCAAAAGACATGAATATTCCACCCCCAGCTTATGTTACATACTAGGGATTAGCATAAGGAATAGACCCTAGCCTGGGATGATGCTGCTCCTTATTGGAGCAGTCCGCTCTCTACTGAACTTGAGGGTGCACTGTACTTTCTATACTCTGGCTTTAAACTCAGGGTCGTCTCCACTCGCAGGGACAGACCTGTTTCTCTCTCGGGTACTTACTTTGGCTTTGCAATAAAAGCTCTTGTGTGGAAGTGCTTCGTGTCTGTCATCGCTCCGTCGTACCGGCCCTGCTAGCGATTCTTCCAAGCAAGGGGCCAAAGAACCAGGACAGCTCTCCCTAAACACACCTGACAGGTAGCAGCGGGAAAATGGAAGAGTGTGTACGTCCAGAGTGGAAAGACTGCCAAAACCATATGCACCAGGAAAGCAGACAGAGGTACTTGTTTCCTCTCAGTTTCTAAAGCCCTGGACTATTGAGGTTGTGGGAATGTTCTTTAACAAAAATCAACTGATACCTATTCCTTACTAGGTCTAGAACTGAGCCCTGAGGCTCCCAAGGTGAATAAGAAACATTACCTGGGAGCCTACAGTGTAGTGGGGAAGATGAACACAGAAACAGATGATTTTAATGAACTTTCATAAACGCAGTGATGCAAGGAAATCAAGATACCACAGAATCAATAAGCTGGCCACGCTTAGCTAGGGTCAGGAACAGGAGGAGCTTGTCAGGGAAGGGCTCCCTGTCATCATTGGTGACTGAGCTATAATTTAACAGATGAAGAAAAAGTTACGTGAAAACGTGGGAGAGGCCAAAGGGTGGAGTCATTCCAGACAAATCAGCACGAACAAAGACAACAGCAGTTAGAAGCAGCTCAATGCGCGTAGGAGAGCTGCAAGGCACGTCCTGGGTCTAGAGGGTGGAGGGAGTGGAGGAGGAGCATAGGAAGCCCTGTGTGCCTGGCTTGAGCACCGTAGGCAGCGAGAAGCCAGCCTGTGAGCAAGCTCAGGGCAGGGCCTCCCAGCCCAGCAGTGGTACTGCAGTTGCACCCGCCTCTCCCCAGCTGACTGCCTCTCCTAATTCCTTAGCTCCTGTACGCTGGAGATTGGCACTAGGGGGGCCATGAGGTAACCTTGTCAGGACTCCTACCTCCCTGGGTTGGTCAGTGGCCATCTGGTATCTGAAGAGAACTGCTAGCGGCCACTCTACCTCTGCTGCAGCCGGACCTGTCCCAGCTGCTCACAGACCTCAAGCCCAGCAGGCCTCCCTCCATTGGCCTTGACCCAGACCTTCCCTGACACTCCGACTAGGGGACCGGGACTTTCAGAAACAGACGAGGAGCCCTGGAAATGCTTGTCAGGGGTGTATCCTTACCCTGGCTCAACTGGCTGCAGACTCTGCCTGTTGTCATGAATCCCAGCTGGGCTTCCATGTCCAGTTCCACGTTCTGTTCCACGTTCTCTCCCAACTAAACCAAGCTGAGAGAGACTGGAAGCCCAGGCTGGGGAGGATGCTATGTTGTGGTGTTGCGGGTGAAGGTAACTTTGCCCTCCCGAGCCCCGTCCCCTATTTACCTGTCTTTCAGAGCCTATATGCCTGGCTGCTACCCAGTAGACTGCACAGCAGGAACGATGTCTGGCAGGTTTCCAGGTCTAGTCATGCCAAAACTGGTACAGGAGCCACCGTCCCTGGTTTCCATCCTGGTGTCATGTGGAGGCCTTGTACAATCTGTGGATAACAGTACGGTTACTGCTGATGAGACAGCCTGAAGTTTTGAAGCGTTTGCCCAACAATTTGCCTCGAGTGCAGATCGGTGCAATCTGTCTAGTCTCCTAAGGCCTAAGGTTCTGTGCATTCGAGGAAACTAGTTCAGCAGAAGAATATCTTGGTGGCTGACAGCTCCACAGCAGCCTGAGACGCCCCTTCTCCTTCCAGGAGAGAAGACGCACCGCGTGAACCTACTCACCTCGCTGGGCCCACAGACTAGAGGCCAGACTCCACGGTCTGGCTGCCACCATACGCCCCCACCTGTGCGCATCTCCTTAGGCCCTTGGAGCTGCGCCCCACTCCATGAAGAAGCCCGCGTGTTTGCGATTCGTGGTCCTGTGCGCGCTCTCCTTTGTCCAGGGCCACATCTGTCAGCACGCTGCTGTTCTTTCTTCGAGACTCGACTTCTTCAATTTGCCCTGCCCACTCCTGGCAGAGTCAGTCCCTTCCTCTCGTGCTCCCACATTGCCTCTTGCTCATTCAGTACTTACCACATTCTGGAAAATTGCCTATTATCCTGCGTAGCTCCCAGGCTAGGCTCCTCCAGCTCTTTTCCACCACCTCAAAACTCAGACTCTGAGTGTTTACAAAATGAACGGAGCCCTCAGCGTTGCAGAGGGAATGTCTCAGAGTCCTTGGCCCGGTTCAGGGCTCCAGCTTGCCGTGGTCATCTTGCTTAAGTCTGTACCATGGCCCTGCCTACCCTGGGCTCCTCTTAGGGCAGACTTGGAAGGAAGCATAACTTCCTGAATTAGCTGGTGTTTGGTAAGTGGTGGTGGAGGAAGAGGGTGGGGCTTGGGGACATTATAACTTAGGTCACCTCTGAGTGTCACTTTTGGGTAGAGAAAACGGTCACTGGGGTGCCTCACATTGAGAGAAGAGCTCAGACCTGAGGAGAGTGACTGACTGCTGTACCTCCCAGGTAAGCGCCTCTTTGGTCTGATTCCTGCCTGCTTCAACCCCAGCTGCCTTGTCCCCATCCCCGCTGCTTGGCCCACAGCAGAGGAAGTGGAGGCTGGAAAGACTAAGCCGGGTGAGTGGCTCCCAACCTCGGCAGGGCTCCCTGGGGTAACTTTCAGAAGGAAATCTCACTCCATGTAGCCCATTCATCCAAGGGAAGCCAAGAGGCCCTTCCTTCAAACGTGTGCAGACCCTGGGCTGAATTCTGGGGATATTGCAATGAAGGAGACGTGTCCCTCCCCACAGGGACTCTCAGCTGGAAAAGATAGACCTGAATACATTTACCTAGGGTGTAAACACTGGGGTTACTTGGGGGAAGCTTTACAGACTCTGGCATGTAGAACTGTTGAAAAAATATTGAATGGCCGAGGGAATAAATAACAGTGATTGAACGGATGATTGAGCTAGCTGGGCCTCAAAAGGAGAAGGCCACATTTGTAGCCCTTGGGCCTTTCCAAAGGTAATCGCCTTGGTTACTTCATTTTACCCTTGAAATAGACCTGTAACATATAGAACGAAAATACCACATTCCCATTTGACAGCTTTGGGGAAACTGAGTGTGGACATACGTGCTTTGGCAGAAACTGATTTCTTGGTTTACCAAATAAGAAGAAAACTCCCTCTTCCCCCTGCTTCCAATTTTAAAAAGCTGTATTAGCACATACCTATGCCAAACCCTGCGCTGGGCATCGATGCAGAGGTGACTCAGTTTGAGTGGGACAGGGAGGTAAACAGACTAGAAGCAGAGGTATCGGTTAGGAGGCTGTCGGAATAATCAGACTGGAGGGCAGTGCCTACATGAACGGGGAGGAGGGGACGCGCAGGAGAGCTCTTTCGCAGAGCCTGAGGTCCAACTGCATAGAGGAGGTGAAGGTCAGGGCTGTACACAGGCAACTCAAATGGCTGTGTGACTGCGGAGGCCTCTTGATGCCTTCAGTCAAGGTGGAGAAGAGAAGAGCTATGCGGGGGAAAGTGAAGGAGAAAATGAAGGTGGCTTTGACTGCTGAATTCGAGGAGCCTCTCCAGTGTCCAGATGGTGACGTCCAACAGACCACTGGAATTTAGGATTTGGCTTAGGACAGGGGTAGATTCAGAAGCCCTGACACTGAGGTTTTAATCAAACCTGGGGGTGGGTGAGATAGAGTATGGAGAGAGGGCATGGCCCCAAACCTGGGAGCCCCATTGTCTAAAGGGAGAAGAGGGAAGTTACTGACGGAGGCTGTGAGAACTCAGGAGGGAGACTTAGGAGAGCCCTGCTGCTGAAACCAAGGAAGGGGAGAATTTTGCAGCAAGCAGAATGGCTGATGGCTTTGCATGCCTGTGAGAGGGCGACACTGAGGTGGAGGCTGCGGAGGCGGCTTGGGATTGGGCAGTTAGAGGTCACAGGTGACCATGTGGAGGGCAAATTAATGAGAGTAATGGAGGTAGAAGGTGGGGAGGGGTTGCAGGTGTGGGAAGGTACTATCTTTCCCGAAGTTTTGCTGTTGCGAGGAGGAGAGGTGAAGTGACTCGGTGGACAGAACCCTGCCCACATTGGGCCTTCCATTGCGTTTCCCTTTTCCTCACCCCTAAAGAGGAAATCTCTGCAGGCTCTCTCAGGGACTGCCTGGAACAACAATGCCACCTCTAGCTAGGATGAGCAAAATACCTGACATTCCTACAGTCCTTTACGGTGTGCAAAGGATTATCTCCTTTGTTTTTTCCATGTTACAGAGGACGAAATTGAGGCTTGCAGAGTTTTAACTCAGATTCAGCTAAATAAATCTGAATGTGCCCTCTGAGCAAGGTTATTGTGCTCTCCTTCTCTCGTTTACCCCACACAGCCCTTTGACATACGTTGGTCCCCGTTCCACAGATGGAGAAAATTAGGCCACAAGGTCGAGAGGTGGCCTTCAGCTCTGAGCACAGGCCTTTCTGCTCAGTGTCGCTGCACCTTCCAAACCCACCATGGGCTGACTCTGGTGTCGCACGCTACATTTCATGAAGCATTTCCCCAGGTGCTGTTCCATTTAATGCTCACAACAGCCTTGTGAGGGTAGATATTATTTCCTCCTGTTTTACAGATGAAGCTGAAATCCAAAGAAGTCATAAATGACTCGTGCAAAGTCACACCATTAGTGGAATCCCTTTTCGAAGCACAGATCCACCCTGCCCACGTCTCCTGTTGCCTTCAGGATGAAATTCACATCCCTCCGCCTGGCATAAGGGCTGTCCACAGTCCAGCCTGCCTGCTTCTCTGGCAGATCTTTGGTTCCTTCCTACCTCACACCCTGGGTTCCAAACCTCCAGCATGTCCCTGACTTCCGCACCACAGCAGCATGTCTGTGTATTACACGTGGCCACCCCTGTCACTGCCCATGCCAATCACACTGTGATTACTGGTAAGACCGTGGGCTTCCTGAGGGCAGAGCCCAGGTCTGCTTCAACTGTACCTCAGCATCCGGCACAGTAGGCATCAGTAGGAATTTGAACGAATGACAGAATGAATGAATGAATGGCATTTGGACTTGAAAGCAGCCTTCCCAGTGCTCTCTCATTAAACATGCTTCTGGAAAGCAAGGGTCTTCTGGTTGACTACTGAAGGGTCTTTAACGGTCAGAGGTTCTGATTTCCGCCCCCAGCTTCCTTCCTGGTCCTCTTCAGAAGGAATCAGGTTGGTCTGGGTTACAATCTCCCAGGGCCTATGGAGTAAGTGGTTGACCCAGGTGGTCCCTTTCTCTCTCTCCCATAGGTGGGACCACATGGACTCCACTGGGCCTGCAGGGGTGCGGCAGGGGGAAGGAGCCCTGGGCTGCTCCCAGGAGGGCTTGCGCCAGCCCTCAGACAGCTCGGAACTGGTAAGCTCAGCACTGGGTTCCTGTTTCATGCTTATTCAAGACGTTCAAGAGCAGGGTGGCTGAAGCTGCTGCGGGGCCCTGGGCTCAGACCCGCGCAGCGCCTTCCAGCTTACCGAGCCTTTCCCATCTGACCTGTAACTAGCTCCTTTGGGGCTCCAGACAGCTGCTGGTGGGGGCTGTCTCCTCATCTTACAGATGAGGAAAAGGGACGTAAAGAGGTGACGCAACTTGAGTTTAAGACACAACAGCAGCTCGCGCTGAGGTGCTTGAGCTCCAAAGGTATCACTTTTGTCACCTTGCCACACAGGTGCCACCCTTGCCCCAAGTAGGTCGGCACAGTCCAGGTGGACCCTCCCAGGGTTATCTCATAAAAAGCTGTGTTCTTGAGCCTCTTCCTGTCTCGCTTCTCTAGCTCCTCCTGCACGTGTCCCTCTCTGCGAGCAGTCAGGCGCACAGAGATGATTTTAGTGCTGAATTCATGCCTGAGGTTTGCTCAGAAGTGAGTTTCTCTTTTTCCTGTTGTCTTGACCAAGATTTAGAAGCCCTTGCATACCACACCCTTGAGCAAGAAACACTCGTGCAAGTCATTTCATAATCTCTTCGTCTTTATTTCTTCATCAGTAGAATGGAGGAGAATAGTGGAACACTCCCCGGCCGGAGAGCTAAACGAGCCGGCGGAGACAAGGGCCCGCGCAGGAGCGGCGCCCGTCCAAGCGTCCTTCAGTCACGCCCTGCAGCTTCTCTAGTTTTCCGGCTTGTTCCCACACCCGCTTGACTGGGCTCGTTGCGAGATTGCGGGGGCATCACCTCTCACCGCATTTCATCCCCCCTCTCCCTTGTCCAACCCACGCCCCAGCCCCTGCTGGAAACGGTTCTTCTGCACCCGACCCACAGCTGCGGCGACTGCCCAGCCAGGACCTGTGGTCTTACTCCCTGCCCCCCACACGTGCCCTGCGGGCTCTGCTACGCACACCTGCGGTTTAAAGACGTCCCTTTGGCTTTGGGGGACGTCACGGGAATGGCAAATTCCCCACGTCCTTGGGCCCCGCTCAGCACCGCAGGCCTCACCCGCACTCCCCTTCCCGTGACCTCAGGTTGAGAAAAGGTTGGTTAATCACACATGGTCAGTGCTCAGCCCCATCCCAGAGTCCCTTCCCAGCTCTTCCCCCAAGTCTCTTTTTGTCGCAAGAGCGGAGGGGAATCGGGCCTACCAGGCCAACTGCGCCTTGTGCTCTGAGGAAGGGTCCCCGCGCCGCACCGAGCACCTTCTGTGTGCCAGACGCATGTCTGTGGTCCTCTCGGTCCTCGCGGCCTCTCCGAGAAGTGGGGACTGCCGTTGTTCCTGCTAGACAGAGGAGGTCCCTTGCTCAGAGAGGTGAGGTGACAGGCCCAGACTGACCCACCGGGGAGCTGGTGAGAGGAGCCAGCGTCGAAGCCGTGCTGGACTTCGCCCGCGCTCCGATGCTCTCCTCCTCGCTCTCCTGGCTGGGTCTCTCCCCGGTCTTCCTGGCGGGCAGGAAGAGGGGCTCCCGTAGCTGTTCCTGGCTGCTGTGTGACCCATCAGGATCTGCCAGGGAAGTCCTTCTGTCTTCCTTGCAGCTTCTGCCACTTCCTAGCCTTTCCTCTTGAACCTCTCAGTGTGCCCAGGAGGAAAAAGAAGAGAAACACCAATTCGCCCCAGCCGTTGGCTTATCCATAACTCTGCTGTTTTCATTAAGCAATAATGAAACATCCCTCACGTCAGAACAGCATTTTACACTCTCACGTACATTATCCCCTTTGATTTTTATGCCGCCGCAACCATTCAATCAACCACAGATCCTGAGGGCCTGTCTCAAGCCAGCTGCCCGCCGTGGCCCTGAGATGTCGCCGTGAACAAGACGTGGTCCTGGCGCTGGGGGACTTCTGGGTACTATTATTTTCTCAGTGACCGAGGCTCAGAGAGAGCTGTGACTTTCCCAGGACTACTCAGCCAGAAAGTGGCAGGGCCAGGACTTAGATGTGAGTTCCTCTCGCTGGGTGCCTGGGGCCTTTTTCCTGCAACTTTTATCAGCCCTGGTTCTTTCAGGGGAAGTTGCTACTTTTACAAGGCTGCACGTTTGTGTGGGAACATCTCTGCGGTCAGATCTGGCTTCACATTCCACCCTGCGCTTCCATAGCTGTTTGGGCCAGGCATGCTCCGCCTTCTCAGAGCCTCAGTTTCCTCAGTGGGAACATAGGCACCGCCCGGCGTGCGTGGCTGCCGGGAGGGTACGCTGCAATGTGAACTCGTAGCTGGACATCTGGCGCTCCAGCTAGGATTAACCGCCTCCTTAGGAATCCGTTTCCCTCTCTCTTCCTAAAGCAAGAGGTAGCGCTGAGTCATCCTCATCTTCCTCAGCAGGAACCCTTCCTCCATGGCTGTCCCTGCAGAGGCTTCATTATCCAGGTGCCCGAGCCGTTATTTCAAAGCTATGGGTCCAGTGTGGGGCACGGGCCACTGGAGGAGAATTCCTGTGAGACAGGAGGGGAGGTGTCTGGAAAGTCTAAGCCTGGGGAGGATGAGGTCGCTGGGCTGCGACCCTCCGATGAACCCAGGGATGCTGTTGGGACTTTTCTTTGAAGGATGGGTGAGAGGGTCATCGGGGGAGATGTCTGCACACAGGGTGAGATCCCTGGGCTCTTCTTAAGCTCCCGGGCTTCTGGTGGAGGGGGAAGCTGGATGCACCGCCCCTGCCGCCCCTGCCGCCCCTGCGGTCCCTGCCTCCTCAGCCCCTTCAGACTCTGATCCACTCTGGCCCAGCTGTCCCCCAGCTCCATCCCCTCGCTCTGGAGAAAACCCCTTCCCGCTCCCCCCCAGATCTTCAAATGGCTTGTCCCCTTCACTCATTCTGCTCACCTCATCAGGGAAGCCCTCTTTGATTCATATCTAAAAATATCTCTTCCTGCCCTGGTCACTCTCTAACTTCTAATCCTGCTCCCCCGTTTCAATAGCCGCCATCACTAGCGGAACCATATTACATGTTTCTGTGCCCGTTTTCTGTCTCCCACACTGGAGCCGAGCTCCGCGGGAGCAGGGCTCGATTGGTTATGTGGTGTCCGGTGCTCGGAATAGCACTGGGTGTGTGGTGGCAGGGGTGACGGAGTGAAGGAGGGACCGTCCTCCGCACTGCGGTCTCCACATGCTCCTCCTGCGCTGGGCTTGTTCAGGCTCAGAGTCTGAGAGTGGGTTAGGAGGGGCAGGCACTTGAACTTGGAGTTTATTCACACATTTGTTCATTCTTTTGTTCATTCAACAACAACCCACTGAGAGGCTCTTGCTCTGGGTACCGGGCGGGTGGGGCCCAGAGAGCCACGAGTCATGGTGCGCCGGGGAGGTCTCGCGGAAGGCTGCATTCAGAGGAGCGGCAGGATGGAGGGTGCGGAGAGCTGTGAGGAGCCTCGGGGGAGTGGGGCGGCCGGAGGGCAGGCGGGTTCTCTCTCCAGGACGGAGCCTTCCAGAGGATGCCTGGGCCGGGTGTGGGCTGAGAGCAGCGAGAGGGGCAGGGCGTGTGCGGGCGAAGAGTCGGCCGGCGGGCACTGGGGAGACCAGTGAGCCTCTAGGGCCCCGGGCGGCCCGCCAGCCAGCCCCTGGGGAAGCTGAGGGCAGTCTGGCCAGTCCAGCAGG